TCTGTCAAAACCTGACCGGCACCGCCTGTTTCGTGGCTGTTTCCGGCGACTGTGGCTGCGGATCGAGGCGGCGATAGGCTGGGCCTGGAAGAGGGAGGTTTCGTGGTTCATTTGGCACTGGTCTTGCCTGAATCGGGGGTCGGAGCTGAGAGAAAACAGCTCCCAAAGTTGGCTGGTCGGGCCTGTCTAACTGCAGAAAAATCTGGGTTTATAAAAACTGAAGTTCGAGATATTTACGGTTATGCCACTGAATTTCTTTTGATCGTAACTCCTTCGTTACAACTCCGATTTGAGTTCACTACGTGTCTACGAACTCGTTTCGTCGTGCTCTACGCAAAGGTACAACTGAAATCCCCAAATTCCTTCCCGGTCAAAAAGTCAACTTTTAAACATAATAAAATATTCTAGGGCTATAAGTGTCTTTTATCAAAATAAATTAATAATTAAATATTAATTAAGGACCGGGTTGTTACAATTGAAATATGCAGGAAGGCCTCAATTGCAAAGAATAGGATCCTGGTACTTGTTTGTAAATTGCTGTGTAAATTGCTCAAGTATAGCAATGACTTATTGGTAAATTGAAATCCGTAGTTTGTGTTGAAATCTCTTTTTCTCTCTCCAACTCCACCAAGCATATGAGAAGGAACAAAGACTGAGAATCATGATGAAAATGCATGGCCTCGGTGACGGGCCTTATTGGATGATTTCGTATGCATATTTTTCTTACAATATCTGCGCTCTACATGTTGTGTTTTATTGGATTTGGCTCAATTCTAGGTACATATAGTATTCTGGTAAATGCTAGCATTATTTAATTTGTGTTAATGCTTTAATTGACCAACTTAATTACATCCATGCAGGGTTAAGTTATTTCATTCAAAATGACTACTCCATCCAATTTGTGTTTTACTTCATCTACATAGACTTGCATATAGCCCTGGCTTTTCTACTAGCTACAGGTTTGATGTTAGTTTTAGCTACTTTTATTATCTTATGAGATGACTTTGATGATTGAGATTCTTAATTTCCATGATCGATTTGATGATCACTGTTGTGGCTTACATTTTTGTCTTCGGAAGCAGGCTTCTTGGAGCCTTTTTTTCCAACACCTAATCAAATATGCATCTAGTAAGTGTAACAAGTGGAGATTAATATTTGTGTTTGATTATTGCAAATGAAGTTGTTTTGCGTTAATTAATGTATGTTGTAGGATGCTTGCTGGTTTTTCTGGAGCTCTATCCCGAGACTTGGGTAATGGATAATGATTTAAACTATTCTTCTCGATAACAGAAAATTAGGGATTTTTTTTAATTTTTTTAAATAAAAAAGGATCCCAGTATGTGTGTGTGTATATATATATATATTCAAGATTCATATGGAACTCGGACATTAGCTAAACGACCAAAATGGAACTCGGACATAAAATTCAAGATTCATATTGGTGAAAAAATTATCATCTTTTATGAGGGCATTTCCTTACTTGCAGAGACTTACGTTGAAGGTATATTTTTGCATAATTTGTTGAGTACGCAGTAAAACATGATACTAGAAGAGAATCGTTATCTAGCTCGCACTTTCCAATGGTGCTTGTTTCTTGTTTCATAGGTTATAGGAGATGAGTATATACTTGTTTCTTGTTTCATATAGGTTATAGGAGATGAGTATATACTGCTTTATAGTTCCATTGGTCTTATGACTTACGAGGTTAATGGTGATTCTATTTGTCAGCTATAAACTGACTAAATTGTGGGTCTTGCTGCATATATGTGCATCGTTCGCTAATAAATTGTTTTCTTGATGCAGTTGCGAGTCTGGGGGAGCGAGGAGAAGAGAAAACTACAGAAAGCTGCCAAATGCCCCACCATTACCTCAAGGTAGTAGAAGTATTAAAGTATCGTGGTCGTAGAAATATTGTCGAACATGTCATGTTCTTGATAGAGAATGCTTTTGCACTCGAGAAACTTGTTATTGATCCTACGAACTGGGACTGTCATCAGAGTGGGGAAAGAGAGCGAGGTTGAAGGAAGCAAAGGCAAGACATCATGCTATGCACCTTAAAAATAAGGTGCCTGCAACAGTAGAATTTGTTTGCCTGTAAAAACTGAGACAATGCTTGCTTGCTTAAACTATATATGTAGAGAGTAGAAATTGAGTAAACGCTATCCATGCTCGTATTGTTGTGAACAAATAAGCTAATCTATGGAATGCAAGTGTTACTTCAATTTTTTCTTATATTGCACATTATCGTTTTTTATCATACACAGATAAATTGCATTCCCAATCTATTTACCTGTAAAGAAATTGCTACTTTTTACTATCTATATTTTTTATTTTTGGTCAAATGCTACTTTTTATTATTATTTTGGTGTACTTTTGGAATTTAGATATACATACATATGTAGTGTGTATGTATGACAAATATATAAAACCATGAATGTTCCGAAGCAATTCATGTAAATGTCAAAAGAAAGGGTTAAATGGCGTTCGTATAATCACTTGCCAAAAAATTGAGCTTTACCATTAGCCATGAATGTTACATCTTTAGTTTTTTTTTTTTTTTTTTTTTGTTACACGGTGGGGGCAAGCCCCAGAAGCAAAGAAAATCGAACGAAGAACAATTCGAGGCAAAGCTCAACTTAATCTATCATCATCCAAATTATGCTCAGGAGAAGAAGGCACAACATCCAAAATATGTTTGGATGTTGGTTTTGACTGTTCTTTGATTTTCTGCTGGTGAAGTAATGTTGATATACAGTTGGGGTTTGTTAAAGTTGTGTTTTTCTCAACATGTTATTAATAGGAACAACATATATGTTTTTGGGAATTCCTATTTTCTATCAAGGATGGAATTTGTTGTTATAGTTGGTTTTCATTTGAAAAGTGATTGCTTGGAGAAACAGTATAGCCGCGTGGCTACAGTTCACATAGTATAGCCGCCTGGCTATACTATTTAATATTCGAATTGTTGTTTTTTTTTTTTTTTTTTTTCTTAGAAGGAGGGGGAAAGCCCCAGAAGCAAAGAAAATCGAACGAAGAACAATTCGAGGCAAAGCTCAACTTAATCTATCATCATCCAAAATATGCTCAAGAGAAGAAGGCACAACATCCAAAATATGTTTGGATGTTAGTTTTCATTGTTCTTTGATTTTCTGCTGGTGAAGTAATGTGGATATACAGTTGGGGTTTGTTAAAGTTGTGTTTTTCTCAACATGTGATTAATAGGAACAACATATGTTTTTGGGAATTCCTGTTTTCTATCAAGGATGGAATTTGTTGTTATAGTTGGTTTTCATTTGAAAAGTGATTGCTTGGAGAAACAGTATAGCCGCGTGGCTACAGTCGGCTATACTCGAATATATTCACATAGTATAGCCGCCTGGCTATACTATTTAATATTCGAGTAAAAGGTAGTTTTTTTTTTTTTTTTTCACTTTTCCTCTTCCAAACAAAAAAAACACAAATTTTTTAATGTTACTGATAAAGGGACTAAAATTTCGACCAAAAAAAAAAGATAAAGGGGCTAAAAGCTTATAACTTGAAGTAGGAAGGAGGAAGGAGCTTACAGACCTCAGATAGGCGAGAGACGATAGCAGCAAAAACTCGCAGAGAGAGAGAGGCGATGGGGATAGTGAGCAAGGCAGGGGATTGGGCATTCAAGGCCTTCACTGCGGGCCTGGGAATCACCACCATATACCTCACCGCCACTTTCTCTGCAAATGTCTACAAAGGCCTCGCTTGGCACAACGCCCAATCGGTAACACTCGTCTCTCCCTCTCTCTTCAGCTAGGGTTTCCTTTTATTGTTTTAATTATGGTGAATTGTTATACCCTGTGGTTTTGTATGAAGGCATGAAAGATGGTTCATTTCTGTTTCACTCGATTGTGCATGACAAAGATTTTTAATTGTTTTGTAGCGTATTCTTGGGCTTGGTATCAAATAAGTTTCTTGGAATTATCTTTCCCCTTTTGTGTTTGAACAAAATCTAGAATATGTTGAAAGTATTTCCCCTAAATCTAACCTAATTTCTTGGCATTTCTTGCTTATGGATAAAAGATGTGGACATATATTTATAATTTCTATGATGTTGTATTAAATTATATAGTTCATAGGATTAACATAATACATGTTGCACCTCTGACTTTGAGACTAGGATGATAGCCTTGCTGTTAATTGTAACTTCAGAAGATGAACAACCTCAGCAGAAATGTATCTGTTTGATAAATTTTTATGCATCCCCTACTCTCATAAGATAAAAGGGATCATAGTGCTAAAAAAATCCATGCACACACCAGATAATGAGAAGGGCTGCACAAAATTGAGGAAAATAAGTCAAAATCATACGCCATGGCATGGATTTTGTGTAACATTTGAGTGCAAAATAAGCCAAGAAAACCAGTCTAGCAATCACTTTGATGATTGAAATATGCAGGAAGGCCTCAATTGCAAAGAATAGGATTCTGGTACTTGTGTTTAAATTGCTCAAGTATTCCTTTTCATCAGATTGTGAAAACAGCTTTGATGACATCAATATATAGCTTGATTGATGTTTTGGTGTTTCTAGCAGATAATTGGTGTCAGCTTATAACGTTTTCGTCGTCTTCATGTTTTAACTGTTTTGCGTTAGATCCCTAACTTAGATTTTCTTCTTTCTTCTGTGCAGAAAATCGAAAAAGAGCAGTCTGCTGAACAAGCCCCGTAGTTTCTTGAGTTTTCACGGCTGTCAGGGATCTTCTTGTCTATGAAACTTAGATTATTGATTTTGTCTTTTACGTTTTATGTAATTGAATTATGAGTTAGATTTTGGACCTAATTAATGGCTCTCAGTTAGTTGGCATCACTTCCAGTTCCAGATGCTATGGAGATGTTTCTGATTTGGATATGACATTTTGAAATACTTCTCTAGGTCCATTATACTGGTTGGATTTACCCTTTGGATATACAAGTTCATTATTTGTTTGATTGGATTTTACCCAAATATGTTTTGTATTTTCATATTTATTGAATAATTATTCCGATGTGGAAAAGTCATTGTCTTCTTTCTTGCAGTTTCTTTGGTAACTTACATACATAGCCAGCGCATTTGGATATGTTGTGTTGTTTCTCTTTCAAAAAATCTCGCTTGGTTGGGATTTTGCCATCTGCATGACTTCTATTTATTATTAATGCGGTGGAAGGGATTCGAACTTAGCTCTTTGTCCATTTTAATATTAGGAAGAAAAGTACCACTCGACAACATTAGAAAGGGCTCATTACCGCTGAATATGACACAACATGGGACAAAGAAATTAAGATCCAACCGTCAGTGCCGGTTCGAATGTGAAACAGGAGGAGACGAGTAGGGTAGAATTCATCATCATCATCATCAAATATTAATGGCTCTTTCAGAGCAAGTAATAATACGTGAGAAGCAAGAACAAAGATACAAAATGAGGCCCCAACTAAAAGGAATGAAAGCCCTACTCCTCTATACACAATATAACCTCCTCTGTACCAATAAAGTGTGGCATTTGGTGATAAATCTCACTTCTTTGAAATCTTACTTAAAATAACAACGTAGGATGCACTTGAATTAAGAGGATACATAATTTCATATCTTCTATTAATCTTGTAATAGACTTCTTTCGGTAATACCCAAAATGACCTTTGCACATTTTTCTGAAGGCTCACACATTGCCTTGATCATTTCATATATGTTGTGTTGATAGCACGGCTCAGAACAAACTCAAAATTTCCAGCTGAAATTATGCCACAGAGAATGCTAAACAGCAACTGGGGAAAAGGAATTGAAAATTAGGTTATGGTTTCAAACTTGGTATGAATTCTAAAAAGGTGAGGAAACATTTGTACAATACCTGCTGATTCAACTGACTGATATACCCCTCGAGCCACTCTGAATCTCTGCCAACGGATTTACAATGAACCCACTCTGATCTTGGAGCCGAAACCTAAGGTTCTCCAACATCAATGTTTCAGCATTGCCATTGTCATCAGATCTGTAGCGCATGGCTGCTGCTGGTGCAATGCCCCTGGAATTAGGAAACCTTGAGGATGAGTACCTGCTTTCTGTTTTCCTCCAGAACTTGGAGCTCCAAAAATCACGACCAGGTAGAAGGCAACACGTTCTGCTCCGTGAGTCAATTTTGGTCATCCTTCCACTTGACAAAGCCAAATCATATGAGATCTCATCCAGTGCTAGCTCTAGCCCATGCACACGTGTCTCCAAAGAGCGCATTCCATTTTGCGAACTACCCATGAATCTCTAATGTAAGAAGTTGAAATGGAGAAAATGATTAGAAGCAGCAATAAATCAAAATGCACCACAAGCACAAAGATGAGTGCTTGCCTAATAAGTAAGTTACTTAAGATATGCAAGAATTGTTACACAGCTTTGGCGAATAAAAATGAACAAAGTAACACAATTTAGGTTTGTCACGGATTTCACAAAATGATGTCAGAATCACGTCTAACATGACTTCTTAACAACAAACCAAATCATAATATAGAATTTTCAAGCAGTGGAAACAAACCTGCACGAGATCAAGTAAACTGGATTGCTGCTTTTCAATCTGAACAAGTTGACTGCGGATCAGGGATAAATCCTCACATTCTCTGTGATTCTTATGGATATCCTCAGTAACATTACTGACTATAACTGTAGAATCTGGGGTATCCTCTTGACAGGGAGCCACACGAGATCCTGACCTTGAACCCCCAAATTTATGCACTTTGCTATCAGAACTCTTATGGAATAAGGCCCGTTTTGTTTCTGGCTTCGAAAATCTAGTGTTGCCATTGATCCTTCTTTCCTCATCCCTCTCCTTAAAACCATCATCAAAAGCCCCAGCCGATGAAGGAGCACTAAGAGCAGCAACCTCAACGTCCCAATCTGAAGGCTTCTTATGGTCTGTCTTTCGAAACATTCCTGGATTCTTTTTCTTGTCATTGCTCTTCAAAGGGCTTCTCTTCCTAGCAGTGGTAGCATAAGAACTATCAGGTGGAGTTGATCTGCGAGCTGGGATAGGTATCTTCTTCAATTTAGGAGCTTCAGAACCAGGAGCATCGCAGTTTCTGGACACAGCCGGGTGGTATCCATCACTTGCATTTTCTGAACCCCATCAAAAGACCCAAATAAGAAAAAAAGCTCACAAAGAGGACAATCGAATCGAGCAAAGACAACATATTAAAAATTAGAAAAACTTTTTATCCAAAGAAATCTCATGAACTACACTGACCATCATAGCATGGATCAAATGCAACATAAGGGTAGAAAATATTTTAGAAGTTTCATTCTTTAAACCAGCTTGAAGTAGTACCGAATAATTGAGTATTATGATACGAGAGTTGATCTGAACCACCATTAGAACTAAGATCAATTAGTTATCAATTTGTATAAGCAATCAAATCTAGTAATACCTTTGGAAGAAGCATTCGAAGGAGGCGGCGGCGAAGCCTCATCAGAGAGATCAGGAATCTGCTTCCAGACCTCCACCATCTGATTCATAACCTCCCTAACACCTTTCACCTATTACAGCACATTGGCAAAATAAACAAAAACAAAAATACAACAAAAAATTATATTTGGAAAAAGGAAGAACAAAAATTACCTTATCGAATTTCCGATTCTCGAACGTTCTCAAAGACCCAGCTTTGAACTCAGACAGCGTGTCTCTCTCCACAACCGCCAACTTGGCCAGCGCTTCCGCCGCGGCCTTCCTCGCTGCCCAGTCCTCGCTGCTCAAGAACCCCACAAGGCAAGGAACCAAACTCTTCAAAGCTCCCTGACCCGACGCCCCGCCCGACCCGATCACCGATCCGATTAGCGTCAGCACCGCCGGTTTCGCCTTAAACCCGTCGCACTTTATCAGCCTCTCAAGCCTCGGCAACAGCCTCGCCAGCTTCGCCGGCTCCGGGTCGGGCGCGGCGTCAATGCCTGAGGCCAGGCAGAGTGCCGACCCGATCTGCGAGTTCGGGTCCTGCTCCGTGAACAGCGCGTCAGTTAAGGGCTTCAAAAACGAGCTGAACGGAGGCTTGGTGACGTGGCAGGAGAGCGAAGCGACGGCGTTTTGGCAGGCGGATCGGACGGCGGAGTCCGGGTCGCGGAGCCGCTTCGTGATGTTGCTGAGCATTTTGGAGAGATGCGGCGACAGAGAATCACCATGGGATTCGGAGAGGACGGTGATGAGGTGTACGCATTGCTTGCGAACCGGAGACTTGTCGGAGGCGTCGGTGGATTGGATGCAGGTAAGGAAAACGGGTACGGAGCTCAGTTCGAGGGTCCGGGCGATGGACTCGAGCTCCGAAGCTGCGAGAGAGTGAGTGTCGCGGTCGGAGAGCTTCGTCAGGCACGTGAAGACCCGGTGCTTGAGGTTTTGCGCGGGAGGCATTGTGCTGTGCTGTGGTTGATGGGCCGGGTTTTTTCAGTGATTTCGGGTCGAGTTTACGGGTCAGGTGGCGGAGCTTCCGGACTCTCCAGCAACATTGCCGGAGTTGACGGTGGTGATATTGCGTGTTCGTTTGGTCGGTGTTAACAGAGAGCTGCTTTCGAGT